TCTTGAACCACCGATTATCAGACCATGAATTCAAAGTTTTCGTACTTGTGAATTATTACATCCAGGCTTCCTTTACTTCTTCCTATTTTCTCTGCGCACAAGTATGGAATTAGAAGGGGAATTTTTCTTCATGAACCCCTAGTCTTTTTTTTTTTTTCACCTCCTTGATTAGCTACAAATATTCTTTCATTGGAATTAATTACATTGTTGGGTACTAAATGTGAATAAACGTTGGTTCGGCAAGTTGTGAAGGGGCTAACTCTTTTCACTAGATTCAATAACTTTTACAGGTCACTCCTTGTCTTTTTATTACAGAGTATAGAATTAGAAGAAATTGAGCAGAAAGAAAATTAGGAGGGCCAAAACTACTTTCGACATATTCTATTTATCTTTTCTAATTATCTAGTGATAAAAGATCATTTTGAAGTTCAAGAATATTCCTTTTTATTTACTCCAATTGAGATATATTTTCCCCTTCAAATGTTGGAATCGACAAAAACAACTGTAAGAGAAGGCAAAAAAAACAAAAGGCACTTCCATTTCTTCCTGCAGTTCATTTTGCTAAATCCAAAATTCTATAAAGATGTAGGCTTTGCTTCATTGAAGAAAGAAATCTATCAACAATTGAACACAGATAGACATTTGTTGTCCCAACAATAGATCATTTGATGTGAGCAAATATACATAGTATAATATAATGGTGCTGTTTTTATAATATTGCTATGTGTGTCAACCACATCCTTTGAATTTATTCTACTTCATTCATATAGCTGAAAACATAATGCTGCGTGTGTGTATGTGTTTGTACAGATCACCTGGGAATGGTTTTCAACAATTTAAAGAAAAGTAAGTAGTTGCAATGGTTGATGTGAAAGTAGAAGGGGATAAATAGGATACATGGTCCCTCAGTTCTAAAATAATTGTGACTTTGGAGCTTTGCATTGATTTAGAAGGTTAATGAATAGGTTAACATTTTATCGAAACACAATGGTATTTTACTTAAATACCCTTATTCATTATTATAAACACTTTTTCATGGTTAACAATATAACCATTTTTTATTTACTAGATGGTAAAATCACCAATGCAATAATGTTTTTTTTTTTTTTTGAAAACTAAAATGACAACCATTTTAGAAGGGAAGGAGTAACAAGATGATGAGTCATTCTTACATATTATTGTCTTTTCAGTTAGTTGTTTTCCCAACTCTTGAGATAGCTCTTGAGTTGAAAAAATGGGCCAACCTAGGCCTAAAGGGTTGGGCTTAAAATGCCCGTTTTTCTTTTGAGGTACCAAATTGTAGGGCTCGGCCCTTGAGATAACAAGCTTAGGGCTGGCCTTGCGAGTTTCAAGCCCTATTATCTTTTTTTCTTTTTTTATTAAGTTTTTTATCAAATTAAATAGTAATACTCCATTTCATTATACAACTCAAAAATCTCATACCAATATATAAATCAAGAGCACAACCACATCAATAAATAAAATGATAGCAATCAAAATAAAACAACTAAATAAACCATAAACACAAATAAAGTGATAGCATCAAAATGATCAAATAAGATGAACTATAGATACAAGTTTGACTAAGAGCAAAACTGAGAATAAGGAAAGAACAAGGAAAAATAAATCAGACTATAGTTCTATTCGAGCAAGATGAGGGCTTGAGAGATGCTATCGTTTAAGTCTTTAAACTTGGTAAAGCACTGTCACAGATGAAAGAGCACAATGAAGCATGGCACTGTTAGGATTTGGGAGATACTATCAATAAAGAGGAATAATGAGAGACGAGCACAACTCATATGAACAAGAGATAAATTGTAGAAGGGCAAAATTGGTGAAATGTAGTTTGAAGAGTTAAGTTAAGAGATTTAGAGTTAGTTGTTATTTTTTTTTTAATATTTTTTCTTCCTTGCAGATATGGGCTAACATGTACAAATAGAGTATGCTTAAACTTTTTTTCAAGTCTAAGTGTCTATCAAAAGTCAATCATTTGAATAAAAAAAATTGAATGGACTAGCCCTCAACCTTTTAGGGTTAGCCCGTTTATTTTTGAGCTTATTAGCACTAGCCCGTTTAAGTCCGAATTACATTTGAAAGGTTCTAATTGCAAGCCCGACCCTCCATTTAAATGGATTTAAATGGGCTAGCCCGACAGGCTGAGCCCATATTTTTGGCTTTAGCAAAACTGAAGCTCATGCAAAAAACCAGAGCTTATGTGTTGCAGAGGTCATGCACAGTGAAAGAGATGAAGAGAGAGAGAAACAAAAAATTATTTAATGCCAACTAAACCCACCCTTACCACCAATTGAGAAGCCAATTTGCCCAATTTCAATTCCAACATAGTTTTTTCTCAGAAGTTATTCAAATATATATTTATATATATAAATATACACAAACAAAATTAACTTTAGCATCCATTCCCCAATTGAGGGTTGGGCCACCCAAGCCTTAGTTGGAGAGAGGAACAATGAAAAGAAGAGAGGAGAGCATTTTGGTCCACTCAAAAATTGTTTTATTCTATGAAACTTGATCGATCTTCAAAAATTTTCCACGCCTTTAATGCTAAAAGTATCTCAATATCTCATTAATTAATATGAGTAATTATCGTTGGGCATTCCTTGAAGAATCAATAACTGAGGGCTCATCAAGGTGTTTAGAAAATTAATGCTACTTATTGTAATTGAAGATGGAGGGAATACATTTACTTGGGGGAAAGTGGAAAAAGACGAAATACTTTCTCTCGGACATTAAACTGTTTCTTCACAGATGAGCCTATATTCACTTGTAACATATATTTGATAAGGGAGGGATAATATTCTATAATGGGTTAAAGAGTAAATAGGATTCTGAACTATTGCTTGAAAATTACCTTAGACCTTAAACTTTTAAAATATGCAAAATAAATTTTAAATTTTTAAATTTATAACAAAATAAACCCTAACCATTAAAATTTTTAACACCGTTACTGTCCACACAGATACTATAACAGTCAGGGTTAAATTCGTAGGAAAATAAACTATGAATGATACTTGCATGAATAGTAACGGTGTTAAAAAGTTAATAGTTAGGATTTATTTTGTTATGAATTTTTTATTTTACATATTTTAAAAATTTAGAGTTCAGAGTGATTTTCGAGCAATAGTTTGGGATCTTATTTGCTCATTAACCCTTCTATAATTTTAGCAGGTGATTTTCGTAATATAGGATGATGCATTAAGAAATAAAATTCCATTTAATTGTGTTTTATGTATAAATTATATTGATTATTCAATGATGCATTTGTGGGTTCATGTTTGGTAGAAGACTAACTTTCTAAGAATTGATCTATCTCTCTGATTTGATGAATTAATAAAATAATTTTAAAAACTTATCCTAAAAAACTTGCGCTTCTGCAAAACTCTTGAAATCCCATCAAGAAAAATAGACATGCATGTATTATTTGACAAAGACGGATCTGAGTGATTTACAATAGCGAATGTTTAGAGTTTTTTCTTTCTTTTTCTTTTTTTAAACTCAGTTTATGTAGTGAATTTTTGTCAATTGCATGAAGGTTGTTACTCCCAAAAATTTTGATAATTTGCTTATAATTTGTGTGATGGAAAAACATGTTTATAAAGTTTATTTTCATGACAAGATGGTGAAGAGGAATACTTCAGAAAACAACACTAGGCCTTTGAGCACAAAGCAGCATTATGAGAACTAGACTGATCATTGAATCGGTTGAGGCACTAGTTGACGATTCAATCATATAGGGGTTTAGACTAGATATAATTAAATTAATATATTTAAATATTATAGATAAATATAAATTTTTTATTTGGAGTTTCAAAATCATCGTTGATGCTTTTGAGATGGTGATCACATATTTCTTAAAACAAACAAGAACTAAATTTGTTTGAAAAGATATGTAAATAAATATTAGTCCAAAAAATCAATTAAAAAAGAGATCAAAGAGTTGCATGCTTGTTTGAGGTTGGTGAATAAGTACTTTTTATAGGAAAATTATAACCAAATTGAAATGATATCATATGAAAAAAATTATAAATAAATAGCTGGAAGAATGGAGATAAAACAGAAGTTCATACATACTTGAAAAAAATAAGTCTGAGGAACTAAAAAAAAATGAACAAAGACAAGGAGGGGAAAAAAGAAAACAGACTTGTTGGGAGGATTGGCTAAGCTGCATATGTTGTTGAGGGAAATAGTCCCACATTGCTCAAGTGATGAAGAGTGAGGCATGCTCGTATTTATATAATGGAAAAGAGTGATAACACTTAAAAAATTGCTTTTCTTCGACAACTTGCAATCTTGCATGAGCAATGGACCTGAGGCATAGTTTTTTATTTTTATTTTTTAAATCTGGCCACGTACCATTCTTTTCTTGAGTCAGGTGTGTTTTTTCTAACTGGTCCGATTTAAAATTACGGTCTAGTTCATTGGTTATTGACCGATTCACTGGTCTGAGACTGGCTCTTGTTTGGTTTGGTTTTTTGTTTGTTTCGGATCGAACTAAGTACTGATTCAACTAGCCAATCTGGTCTGGTTTTCATAACAACGATACAAAGTTAGGAAACAATGGCTAGTAAAGAAAGCTACCGATAGCGCCTATTTTACTTTTCTAAGCATGGTGAGGCATCTTATTGCATTCCAACATGAAAGAAAGATTAAACAAATATAAGAGTCAAAAGGAATGTTTTGAAAGAAGGAGATTGATGAAAAAAATAGGGAAAACTGCATGCGAGTTGTAAATATGAAATTGATTGACTCTTTTTTTTAAAAAAAAGAGTGAAATAAAGAGCAGTGAAAATTTTAATTTTAATATTTTTTCTCATTTAAATTCAAATATAATATAGTTTCTCCTTTAATATATATATTTACTTTGCAATTGATAAAAATGAGTAGAAGAGGGAAGGAAAATGTGTGGGCGCGAGTGTGTAGGTTGTCCCAAGACCGAACCATGGGTGTATTCTATGAAGGAACATTGATTTGATATCTTCAATAATGGATGTATTCGCTCTACAAATCACCTGTAAATTGTCCCAATAATATGAAATTAAAACTCGTTAAATGAATGTTTTTGAAGGTATGAGTGAAAGTAGAACACGACACAAAAAAAAAAAATAAGACTTTTGATGGCAACATGTTGCCGCTAAAAGACTTTTCACTATCAAAAGTCTTTTTTTCAAAAAAGAAAATAAAATAGCCATCTCATGTCATGTCAAGTGACACCTTGTGCCACATCAGCTGTCACGTGTGCACCTCCTCATGCCACGGCACGTGCCACATCATGTCACGTCACCACCACATGCCACATCATGTATTCACTGTGAAATATGCCCAAGTCAAAATTTGAGCCATTTTCCTGCACCTCCCAAATCTTAAGTCCTCTCTTTTTGCTAGTTGAGTTAAAATGTACCTGTAATTATTATATACAAAATTAAATATATAGGATTTAACTACATACACATATATCAAATAATATATTATTAAAAATTTTACATATATATTACATTATATTTTTATTTATTAATATGTTAAAATAATTTCTATGAGTGTATACATATATATTTTTAATAAAATATTATTTTTGTTAGGAAAATGAACTTAAAATAAAATAATTTTTAAATATTAAATAATTTTATTATAAAATTTTTACCAATTTTTAAATATTATTTTTATTTTTAAATAAAAATAATTACATATATAATTCATTTATAAATATGTATTATATCAGTTTACGTTAAATATTTTTTTACTTTTTTCCATATTTTCTCAAAAATTAATAAATAAATTATTAAACTTTTATCTTCTTCCAATTCTAAATGCTTCCCCTTCTTTTATTAAAAATAATTTTTATTTATAATTTTTCAATTATCTTAAAAAATATTTTAATAAAAAATTTATTTTAATATATAAATTTTGTTAATAGTCATTTTAAATAATTATTTTTTATTATTTTTGAGATAGAAAATGGGTAGACATGCGATGAACTAAAGTAGATACTAAATAAAAAACTCCAAATAAAAAATTGAAGTGAATATTTCATAATCAAAATAGAAAAAAAAATCTTATCTTGACTCAATCTAAATTACTTTAAACTTTTATTAAAGTCTCTTTAACAAAGTCAATCTAAAGATAACAAGAAATACTTTCCAATAACTATACAATTTAAAATAAATAAACTTTAATAAATTCATACATAATTTTATCCATAATTCAAAAAGCCGTCAAGTATTATCCACCTATTTTATTTGTTGCTTATTTTAAATAACCATCAAATACGGAGCGTCTTATTTAAATAATAATGTGGCAGTAAAAAGCAGAGTTCAGCAAACAAAGTAGACACCATACGTATACTAAACCAAACAACAGGTGCACAATGTAACAAGTAGTCTGCAATATCATTTTCATCTTACAACATCTATATAACTTTAATATTCTATTGCTATTTATGTATATGTATGAAGGCAAGTAAGTATTTATGTATAACTTTAACATTCTAATATTATTTATTTCTTATTAAAATATATAAATACTTTTAGTGTCAACAAATTTTGCTGCTAAAAGTAATTATGCAAATTAATTTTTATAAAAATATTTTTTAATTTTTAATTATTTTTATTTTTAATTATTTTTTATGAAAATACTTTTACCGGTGACAAACTATGGCCGTAAAAAGTAATTAAATAAATATTTTAAATTTTTTTAATTATTTTTATGAAAATACTTTTGGCGACAATATATAGTTTGTCACCGTTAAAAAGTAATTAAATAAATTATTTTAAATTTTTTAATTATTTTTTTATGAAAATACTTTTAGCAACGATAGTTTGTCGCAAGTAAAATTAATTACATATATTATTTTTAATTTTTTAATTATTTTTTATAAAAATATTTTTGGCGGTGAGAGTTTATCACCGCTAAAAAGTAATTGCATAAACTATGATTTACAAAAATACTTAAAAGTGAGTTTTACCGGCAATAATTACACATCATTACTTAAAGGAGTCTTTAATGGTAATATTTAAAAGTCATCACTAAAAATTTATTTTTGATGACAACTTCTAATTGTCACCGCCAAAAGCTCATATTTCCAACTTTGTTGGTAAGCAAGCAAGAATTGATCCATTTGCCCATTAAAATGAAAAATGTAATAATTTTCCAAAAACATCAACTTATCCACAATTCGTTTTATTCATGGATATACATTTATTGATTAAATTTTGCAAACTTTGTTTATCTATATTCAATTTGTTATAATATATATTTAGTTTCCATTCAAATAATATAAAGGAGGATTTCATTGCAAGACCAAAGATGTGACTTAATTTCAAATTAGTCTCAAATAATTCTGAAATTATGCTACTGGTAGGACCATAAAATTAGATTGAAATCATGTTTTGTATGGAAATTATTCAAATGCCCTTCAATTAATTTTTTTAACAACTAAAGTCTCAAACAATTAATATTACTATAATAACAATTAATTAATATTTAATTAATGTTACAAAATAACATTGAATATGCATATGGTGTACTGTAACAAGTTCTTTTATTGAGTTAGCAAGTACTATTACAAAAATAACAAGTAAAGTTGCTGTTTTAACAAGTGCATTTCATGTTGTAATAAGTCAATAAGATTGAATATGCCATATGTATTGTTAACAAATTCTTTTATTGGATTTACAAGTAACATTATTAAAATAACAAGTCAAGTTAAAGTTTTAACAAGTTCACTTCATGTTGTTATTAAATAATATTGAGTATGCAAAATGTGTACTTTAACAAATTGTTTTATTGAGTTAGCAAATAATGTTATTAAAATAACAAATCAAGTTACAAAAAAATTAATTGGAGGACATTTTAGTCATTTCCCTACGAAACATAATTTCAACCAAAATAGGAAGACTATAAAATTAATCATAAACCATTTCAACCAAAATAGTAAAAAGGATTAGCAGAAAATAATATAAATTAAAACTAAATAAATATGGAATGATTAATTCATTGTTAAAGAAAACTTACTTGCTCCTGGTGTCCCAACCAGCCAACTTGCCAATTTCAAATAAAACATTTTTCCAATTTTGCACTTTCTCTGCATCTTTTCCAAATTTGTCTTCATGTTCAGCCAAGGCTTTTCCAAAACTGTTTTGTTGTTTTCTTACATCGGCTGGATCGACATCATAGAAGATGGGAAAAACACGTCGACCCAATTTCTTTTTGGATTCCAGAATCTTCTGGAGTTCCTCCAAGCACCACGTAGAATTTGCATAATTTTCAGAGATAACAAGAACTGAACAAAGAGAATCTTCAATTGCTTGAAAGAGATCATCTTTTATAGCTCCCCCTCTCTCAAAATCTACATCGTCCCTTAAAGTGTTGATCCCACTTTTGATAAAAGCATCATCCAAGTGACCTGTAAACTTCAAGCAAGTGTCTTTTCCTGCAAAACTCAAGAAAACGTCATATTTCCATTCTGGAGTTGAATCAGATGTAGAAGAGCTTGTGGAAGATTTTCCTCCGACAGCATATTCCATCTCTTGTTGGTGTGTTCGAATATTATCTGCACCAACGAAATCATATCAGCAATTGCCAAAGAAAATAAAAGACTAAACGGATACGATCACATCGATATACTTGTTATGCAATGATCGATCGTAGAACAGAATCTTACTTTCTCCTCTACTCACTGCTATGATCAGATTTCACTGAAATGCAAAAGCCAGAGAGAAATGGTAGATATATATATATATAGACCAGCAAGAACCTCAGGAATGAAGTCCGAGAAATTTTAATAGGAAAATAGCAATGAATGACAGCTAAAAAAAATTTATATCAGTACTAGTTGTTCTCAAAATACTAATAACAAAAAACTCAAATATACTATTCTTAATTTAGAATGAATTATTGTTAAAGCTCAAATAGATATTTATTGATAAAAGACTAACTTGAATCAACAAGTATTTATTTTTGTTTTAATAATAAGTTATTCTTGACTGATATAACTTTTTTTAATTTTAATTTTGAACGCATAATATGGTGAAATTGCATTTTATGTGTGTGTGTGTGTGTGTACACACATATGCATGTAATTACGCCCTCACACAGACACGTTCAGACTCGTGTGTATATTTATTATTTTTAAAATAACATATAAATTGAATACGGTACTTTTATCAACTTATATGCTATTTTAAAAAGCACTAAATATTTGAAATGGAGTTTATTTCAATTAAACATTTCGAATTAACGTATTCTCGATCCTTGATATAAAGTAGATTTTAAAAGTTTGTTGAACCTTTAATATAAAACAAAGTTAGAGTAGTTAATTATTTTTTCAATTTTAACCCTCGTTTAATTTATTCATTATGCTTCAAATTTTTTAACAACAATTTAATATGATCATTAATTATAAAGAAGAGTAAGATTAAAAAAATTACATGTTTTTGCAATTTTAAAGACATAATTATCATTTTTTAATAATTGCGAAGTTGGTTAAGTTTAATTTATATTAAAACATGAGCGACTAAGCATAAAATGTCCATCTCTCCATCACCAGTTGATTATGACATAAGTTATTCTTCGCTAGTTTATGGTTTTTTTAAAAAAATTGATTAAAAAATTGATTTTTTAAATTTTTTACATATTTTCAATTATGCCCTTGGAGTTAAATAAATATAATATTTGATTTATTCAAAACACCTTCATTAATTACTTGAATGGAGTATAATAAAAATGAGTATAATTGAAAACATATATATATATATATATATAAAACTTGACTCAATATCTTATATTTTAAACTAATGGATATTTTCAGAAAATGTCATATATTTGATGGGATACATATTCCTTGAGGAGGAGCAAGCTAGCAATGACTTAAAGAATTACCCCCTATGTGTTTGAAGATATAAAGCATTTTTCATGCATGAAGTTATATGTTCACAAAATAGCAACTATGAAAAGATGGTACTAATTTAAAGATGATTAACTAACATATTATGGGTATAATTTGATTAAATTAAAATGTCTTATATATTTTAAAGGAGAGGTAGAGACAAAAGTGGATTCAAACCCAATGAATTACTAAGAAATTGTGCATTATTGGTTCCTTTCCCCATGAATCATGATGAATCACTTTTAATTAATAACTTATTTAAAATTACTACACACAATTGTGCATTTATATTCAATTCATCCCATTTGGTACTCTTCTCCATTTTCTTTAAAGCTGACGGCAACCCCACCAGTGAAACAAATCCTAATTAACGTTAATTAATTATTCAGAGACTGAGAAATATCAAAGTCATTATATATAATACTGTCAAAAAAATCCATTTCTTTAATTTCTCCAAATGGTTAGTCAAGACTATACATTATATAAAAGCATGTGAGCAGTATAAACAAAATTATCTTGACATAATCATCATTTCTCTCGTCATTTCCTATGTATGAACGCTAATAATTTTGTTCACTTGCTAGCTACTTTTCAATAATTAATTTCATATTACACGTAATCTTGCCTCTCATTTCACACAGAGCAAGAGAGAAGGAAATACATTGGTTACTTCCCCATCATTATTTACTTTTAATTCCTAATTTAAAATAATTTAACATGTTTAATCCATTTCAATCCATTTGTTTCTTTTCACCATTTTCTTCTAAGCTGCTAAACCTAATAACCTTGCCATCCGTAAAGACAAATATCCCAATGTTATTAGTCAACTATCATGTCAAATGTCGAGATATATAATCTATTGAGATTTATTTTTTTAGAATTAAGTAATATAAATTGTTATAAATTCAAGTGCATCTTAAATTTAAGAGAAATTACTGTTAAGACATAGGGGCTATTTGAAATTATTTTCATTTTATTGTTCTAAGAACTGGTATTTTATAGAACATGTTCTGAGAGCAAAAAAATAATGAAAATAAGTATTTTTTTTTTATTTTTCCTTGTTCTCCAGGATAATAATCACAAAACACCTAAAAATTATTTCTATTTTTTTATCTAGAATAATATTTATTTTTTTATTCTCTAAAATACTTTTTAAAAACACATTATCAATTAGATTATTTTGTCCTCTTATTTTGAAAAATAGAAAATTATTTTTAGAATAGGTTTTCAAACAGTCCCATATTATTTAATGAGATTTATTCTATGAAAATTTGAAGAATATTTTGTATGAGGATATGTACATTATGTTGAGGAAAAATATATGAATTAATAAATGGTATCTGTGACGTCAAATTTGATAGCTGCATTTAATCATACACACACGCACGCGCGCGCACAGAGTAGCTGCAGCTCAAGAGTATTATTGGGTTCACTCTTGGGCTTTTGTCATTTTTTTTTGGTTGTTGCTTTTTTTTTTTTTTTTGAGTATCTACTTCTTGCGCTTGTCTTAGTCAGTGATGATTGATATATACTGAACAATATATTGAATATTGGGCTTGAATTTCATTTTGCCTGCCTGTTGCATGAAGTGCCCGTTCGCATAATGTTTTTAACCAATTTTAAGGGTGAAAATTATAATTTTATGAAAATATATCCAAACACATTTATTATATATATGTTAAAATTAATTATAAACTCAACCATTATTTGTAAACTCAGACCAACCTAGTCTAGTTGATCTGTCAACTAGTGAACTGGTCACATAGCCAGTCTAGTTGATTGAGAAAATCTATCACCTATAACCTTGATTCAACCCAGTTAACCCATTTTCAACCTAGTCAAACCGGCCAACATGGAGGTTAATGAGTTGACCTAGGTCAAATTCTATTATTTTTATTTTTCTTTTTTCTTCTGAATATTAAACCCTAAATCAAATATAAATTTTTTAATTAATAATTTTAATGCTATTTTGTTTATTATTGTCAGAAACTTATACTTATTATTTCTATAAGACATGCCTAAGATTTTATGGATAATTTTTTCATTTACTCAAAAATTAATGACTTCTATTTAAATATTATGGTCTTTCATATGAATATTTTTGTGTATTTAATCAAATTATATTATTTTAACTGTGATCGATCTGTTTTTGAGTTGACTCCTAGTTAGACCACTAATCCTTGAACTACTATTTCAACTGATTTAATAATTGGTCTAATTTTCAGTACCTTGCTCAAAACCATGTATTTTTTTTTAAATGTCCGAACACCTGAAACTTTCATCCTGTGAAAGGAAATATTACATGTGTGTAAAGGGAAGTGAAAATGGATTTCACACTTGGAAAAATAGCAATCATTGTGAATTAATATAATACAAACACACATGTACACACATACATATTATTGAGAGTAATTCAAAAGGTAATCGATGAAAGCTAAAGTTGTCGAAGAAGTTTCCAAGTAATTTTGTTTATTAAAGATAGTTCTCTATAAATAAGTTGGGTTCTTTGATCGCTCTTACATTACAAGTGCATAGGATCAATCATTAATACAAAATATGAAATTTAAAGTTGTCGAAGAAGTTTCCAAGTAATTTTGTTTATTAAAGATAGTTCTCTATAAATAAGTTGGGTTCTTTGATCGCTCTTACATTACAAGTGCACAGGATCAATCATTAATACAAAATATGAAATTTAAAGGTACTTTTTACATTGGTTAAAAGGCAAACAATGTAAAAAGTTAAGGCGGTGGCATTTTTGTAATTTTAGCAATGCGTATGATAGTTTTTATACTGGGTGAAAAGACAATCACTGTTAAAAATACTTTCTACAGTAGGTGCATCGACACCCGTTGTAGAAAATTAGCCTTCTACAACGGGTGCTGTCGCAGGTGCATAGCACTCACTGCAGAAAATCAAGATTTTTACAGCGGGTGTTGTCCACCCGCTGTAGAAAGCTCATTTTCTACAACGGGTAACTCTAACTCGCTGTAGAAACTCCATTTTCTACAGCGGGCTAGAGTCACCCCTGTAGAAAATCACTTTTGACAACGGGTGAATAGTGACCCGCTGTAGAAAGTGGTTCAAATTTTTTTTTCTTTTCAACTCCACGCGTCTCCTCTCTCATTTCCTCTTCTTTTCGCCTTCAGAACTCTCCTTCCTCCTCGCCCTTGACCGACACCCCCTCCCCAGCCTCGCCATTCTATCAGCCCTCGCCCCCCCCCCCCGCCCCCCATCCCTCCTCTTCCCCTTTCGAGCTCCCTACCCTTGCCTCGCCCCCGCCCCCGCCCCCTCGCCCCATACCTCTCGACCCCATTCCCTTCCCCCTAAGCCCCCATCCCTACCCCCTCGGCCCCCCGATCCCCACCGCGGTCCCCCCCGCCCCCCGTCCCTAACCCCTTCCATCATTCCATATCGCCTTGACACCTTTCAGCCAGCTCTCACCCAATATTTTTAGAACTACTCCCACCTGCGTTATTTATAAATTATTTTTATTAATTTCATCAATATCAATATAATAAAACTATACATAATAAAAATAGGTGAAATTTCAAACATAACTCTCAAGTAAAAAATAAAAAGTAAGTCAATCATATAATATTATTTTTTATCTCTCTCTCTCTTACTTTTTAAAGGTAATTTAGGGATTTCAATTTAAAATAAAACAATCCTATCAACAAATGACTCATAAAGTGAACCAGATTATACTTTTAAAAAGTGACTTATATACTAAATCGAAGGAGTATCATCTAGAAGTGAGAGAGAGAGAGAGTCGTCTGA